GAATCCCTCCCAATAATTACAACCTTGACCCCTAAAACGCGGACTCTTAACAGTCAAGCCCCTCCTTATTAAAAATACAACAACCGAAGGCTCTACATTTCTTGCTGGGAACTGTAGTTCTCCCCCTCGACCTTCAACCACTGGCTGCACGAACCTATCACACGTACAACCGGCGACCCGAGCGCCAGGAGCCACGATTGGTCCTTGAACGAGACAGCGCGGGGCTGATTGGACGACACGTCCCCGAAGCCGAGCCTCCCGTCCTGCGCCCGCCTCCCCGCCACCTTCTCTTTTCCACACCCATCCCGCTTCAGCAATAACCCTCACTGTATCCCAGTCGGGAGAACTCCTGAATTAACCACCTGACGGGCCCGCCCCAGGCTCTCGCGATGAGGAAGGCCCTGGGACACGCCTCTGTCTGGGGACCTAAGCAGAGCAAAAATCTCCCCTATTTTCCGTTGTCTGCTTAGTCAGCTTCACCATGCGCTCACCTGGGCGGCGGAGGTCACGCCGGATAACTGATAGACCCGCAGCATCTTGGACAGGGTGGACAGCGCTGCTAGTACACGCTGAAGCTGCGGGAGCCGCGCGCGTAGAAGGGGACGGGCGGGCGTGCGTGCGTGTGTGCGTGCGTCCGTGCCGCCTCTCTGCGCCGGGCGTACCGGGGGGCATTAGTGCCACTGCGCACGCGCAGCTCCTTTTCTCGTCCCCGCCCAGGCAGCTGGAAGAGGGTGTTCCCTCCCTGGGCGGAAAGAGTGGTTTCTTATTCCGGGTCGCTTTGTGGGTTTTGGTCGGTACCCCGAGTCCGGGGTTACTAGGTGAAGGGGAGGGGAGAAAGGGTGTCTGAAACTCAGGTTTCGATGCACTTGGAAAACGGATAGGCGTGAGCTTTCGGAGAATTCAAGCAGGAAAGCATCTAAGTTGTCTCTGTCAGATGGATATTTGTAGAAAGGAAACGATTTGACCAAATCGGTGTTGTCTTGGCTTGCACGTTGGTTTCGTTTGACAGCTCTTCTTCAGGAGTCTTTCTGATTGCGGGAGACTGGCTGAACGAACACTGCAGAGACCTTTGTGCGTAATGTGTCGTCCACGTAACAGCAGAGAGGGGATAGGAACCCAGATTCTTCGGGTTCCACAGCTTCTACTCCTTCCAGAATAAACTGTGCACCTTTCTTCACCAAGTTTTTATTTTAGAAAGATAATTTGGCGCAATGTATAGGATGGGTTGGAAGATAAGGTCAGTGCAGAAGCACTGTTCAAAGTACTCCACTGAGTATATAATCAAGGTATGACATTAAATATTGAATACAGTATTCAATACTATTAGTACAGTATTATAAAAACTAATAACGTGTATATCTATTATGTTTGCAAAGTACTTTCAAGTCTTAATTGGGTTACTTATTACAGTGTGGTGTTCTCCCTAGAGGTAGACAGGCTACTAATCCCGTATGTAAAATGGAGAAATATATTTGAAAATTAACTAAAATTAAATACTTATGTCTATATGTTCGATGTACTTTAGTAATTACACTCTCCATGTCACCATTACCTAACAGCCTCCAGAACAGTCTTATATCTTTTTCAGTAATTTTAGCAACTGAACTGCAGTTTCCCTACCCCATCTCTGCCCACTGTGGTTATGCTGAGTGATGCCAGTGTGATGTCTCCTTTTCTAACATCTTGGCCATAAATTTCTCATTGCCAATAAGCAATTTCAGTCTGCTCCAGCTGTGTATGGCACAGCCACACCTTGATCCTGAATATCATTCACAACTTCAGCTTCAAGATCTCAAATTCCAAAATTTTATTCTATAGTTTCCTAACCTCTCACTTAACCAAGTCCCTAACCCTCATCCTCCACATGCAATTTATGAATTTTTTGGCTTTAAAATGTACTCTCCTAAAGTAACTCAAAATTTAAAATCACATCCCTGTTCAAACACTGCAGTGACTCCCACTGCCAATTCAAAGAGCCTTTATGAAATGTCTCAGAGTACTTTTCCAGCATACATGCATGTTTCTAGGCTCAAAGTGGCCATTGTAGGTTTGAGATCAAGACAGCAACAATATCAGTCCAAGCTCATCACCCACTTATATGCCCTATAACCCTGACAAACTGAAGGATACCCATCTCAGTGGTTCTCAAAAGAGTGATCTGGGACCCCTGGGGAGCCTCAGACCCTTTCAGAGGGTCCATAGAAATCAAAACTAACTTCATAATAATAATAACTTCATAATTTGCTGTTTTCATTCATTATCTTGTAGAGTTTTCCAGATATCACAATAGATTGAATACATAAGCAAATTTCAGAATCCAGGTTTCTATTAAATCAGACATTAAAGAGATTTGCAAAAGGTTAAACAATGCCACTCTTCTCACTAATTTTTTATCTTGAAATAGTTGTTTTTCATAAAAATATGTTATTAACATGTAATAGGTTTATTATTGTTTTAAAATAATAAGTATGGTAGGCAGAATGATTATCCCCAAATATGTCTACACTCTCCTAATCTCTGGACCTTGTGACTATAATACCTTAAATAACATCAAAACAAAACAAAACTGCAAGTGTGGTTAAGAATCTTGAAGGGGGTGGTGGGGGGTAGGGAAGAGATAAACCACAGAACTTATATGCATGTACGCATAACCAATGGACATGGACAACAAAGCCGGCGACAGGGCAGGGGGGATGGGGAGAAGGGTGTCAACGGGATAAAAAAGGAGAAACATCTGTAACAAAAATAAAAAATAATAATTAAAAAAAAAAGAATCTTGAGATGAGGGAACTATCCTGGATTATCTGTGTTGGTCCAATGTAATTGCGCTGGTACTGATAAATGAAAGAGAGGGGCAGGAGGGTCACTCAGAAAGGATGTGACAATGGATACAGAAGTCAGAGTGATACAGTTACTGGCTTTGAAGATGGAAAGAGGCCACAAGCCAGGGAATTCACCAGTCTCTAGAAGCTGGAAAAGGCAAGGAAACAGATTCTCCACTAGACCTAGAGCCTCCAAAAGGAACACAGCCCTGGAGACCTTGATTTTAACCTGTGAAACCCATTTTGGATTTCTGACCTACAGAATTATAAAATACTAAGTTTGTATTGTTTTAAACCACTAAATTTGGGTAATTTGTTATAGCAGCAATAGGAAATTAATACAATAAGTATTTAAAATTTTTTTCAATTTTAATTTCCCATACAGTAAGTACTAATGGATATAATCCATAGAATTTAAAGCTCTTTGGGATCCTCAATTTTTAAGCATGTAAAGAGGTTCTAAGACCAAAAAGTTTGAGAACCAATGCTCTAAATAAATCCTATTTTTCTGTTTTGGCTCCCTCTCTTCTCACTTTAGCCCTTGGTATTCTTAATGCCAAGAATGAGCTTGCCCTTGTTAAAATCCTCCCCATTCTTTTTTTTTTTTTATCTTCACCCGAGGACACTTTTCCATTCTTAGTTCAAATAGAGTGGGAGGGAGAGAGAAAGAGAGAGAAACATCGACGTGAAAGGGACACATCGATTGGTTGCCACCCGCATGACCCAACCAGGGTTAGGGACAAACTGCAACTGAGGTATGTTCCCTTAACGGGAAGTGAACCCGGGTCTCTCTGGACCACAGGCCAACACCGCTGTGCAAACTGGCCAGGGCAAAATATTCCCCATTCTTTAATTTTTTTTTTATCCTCACCCGAGGACATTTTTCCATTTTTTGTTCAGATAGAGCGGGAGGGAGAGAGAGGAAGAGAGAGAGAGAGAGAAACATCGATGTGAAAGGACACATCGAGTGGCTGCCACCCGCACGACCAACCAGGGCCGGGGACAAACTGCAACCGAGGTACGCGCCCTTAGTGGGAACCGAACCCGGGTCTCTCTGTACCGCAGGCCGACGCTCCAACCGCTGAGCCAAACCGGCCAAGGTTATTCCCCATTCTTTAAGAACCATGTTATATTCTATGTTCTTGTCCCTGATCATCCCAACCAGAAGCCTCTTCTCCTTAACTTTTCACTTCCCCTGTGAGTCATTTATCTGCCTTGTACTTGTCTCCTTATTAAATGTGAACCCCTTGAGACCCAGTGTTTAGCCCTTACCCATTTTAACCAGTAAATAGTGTCATATGTTATATATCATGGAATATCTTAGGCAACAAAGATGGCAGAGAGGTTCATTGAGATTTTTTGTTTGTTTGAACAAACATTAGAAAAGACATACAGTCACTAATTCTCAGGAATAAAATAAGGAACTGTTCAGGAACTGTAGAATTGTTCAGTAAGAGTTGAGACTCTGTTCTACCATATAACAATCAGTGTAACCAATTAGAAAAAAAAATGTATGTGAGATATCCTTAGAATATTTACCATTTATTTTATTATAGTTGGCATTCAATTTTTTAAAACTATTTTTTCAGAAGGGTGGGAAGTATATTAAAAGGAAACAGAGCCTGGCCGGTTTGGCTCATTGGTTGAGCATTGACCCATGTACCAAGAGGTTGCCAGTTAGATTCCTGGTCAGGGCACATGCCCAGGTTGTCGGCCCAACCCTAGTGGGGGTCATGCAGGAAGCGGCCAATTGATGTTCTCTCTCATCTATGTTTCTATCTCTCCCTCTAAAAATTAATAAAGAAAAAAAAGGCAATAAGAAATATTTCTTTAAAACTATTTTTAATAATATTGCTATTTCCTATTCATCTACCAGTTTGGGAAGGATAATAAGTTTTATTCACATTTGTTCTACAGCGGTGAAGGACAGCCTGACATGTACAAGACATTCATTAAAGATTGATTTGAACCCTGGCTGGTTTGGTTCAGCGGTTGGGGCGTTGGCCTACAGACCAAAGAGTCCCAGGTTCGGTTCCCACTAGGGGCACATCCCACCCCACCCCCACACACAAATGAGATTGATTTGACTATTCCTTTGATCCCCGCCCCCTTCTTGACTCCACCTAGATTCGTTTTCCTTAATGCCCTTTGTTCTAAGTCTTTTAGACCCAACGCGGCTGCCGTAGGGCGAGGTTCCAAGATGGCGGCCCCCGCTCTTGCTGTTGCGGCGAGAGCAGCAGCAGGTCAGTATGAAAACAACGCGCTCGTTTTTTGCCTTCACAGAAGGGAGTACTGGCTCCGCACGGAATGGGTGTTTAGCGTCGAGGTTAACAGAAAAAAGCGGGGGAGGAGTGTCGTTATTTGAAGCCAGAGGGTTGTATCCAAAACGTTGGACCTCCGCTTTCTTACGGGCTCCTAGCGATTCCTCCTTAGGAAACAGACCAGAAGGACAGGGGCGAAGTGGGGCGAGCGGCTCATCACTCACGACCTTTGACCTTGACAACGTTATTTAATTTCTCAGAACTTCAGATTCTATCGTTGTAAAATGGGGATAGTACCGTCTACCTGAGGACTGAATGAGCGCCAGCACGTAACGGGCCCTGCTCGGTGCCCGGCACAGAGCGGTTTGTACAGAGGCCCCGCGCAGGCCGTGTGGCCGCGCTTTCCCTCAGCCTGCGGCACAGGGGAAGGCTGCAGGATCTCGAGTGAGAGATGACAAGAATGAAGGCCACTTAATTTGGTTGCCTAAGGACTCTTGCAAAAAATTAAAGATCGTTCAAATATGATAAGATTACCGTAAGTTACTTTCACAAAAAATAATTTAGAATAAAACTCTGGAATAGAAAGAAAAAAGCTACGATGAAAAATTTCCAACTTACAGAAGAGCTTGTTCACACGGGGTATTTTTAATTCGTGAAACACAACAAAGAAAAATTTATATAACACATGAATGGCTTAAATAAAGGCCTACCTAATTTTATTGCGTTTTGTCGATATTGCCTTTAAAAAAAAAACAAATTAAAGGTTTGTGGTAATTCTGTGGGGAGCAAGTCTATTGGCGCCATTTTTCCAAGAGGCCCAGATGATGGTTATTATTTTTTAACAAAATATTTTTAAATTAAGGTATGTGTATATTTTTTAAGACAGTGCTTTTGCACGTGTAATAAACTACAGTATAATCTAAACATAACTTATATGCACTGAGAAATCAAAAAATTTGTGTGACTTGCTCTATTGTGGTATTTGCTTTATTGTGGTGGCCTGTAATGGAGCCCACAGTATCTCCGAGGAATTCCTATAACTGCAAAGGAAACATCGTATAACTAACACCCAGGTCAGGACATAGAACACTACAAGAGCCTCTTCTCCACCCTTGTGAACCTCCCCAGTCAAAAGTCACTTTTTTGGCCAAATGTAAACACTATGCTCATTTTTATTATTACCTTGTCCTTTGTTTTTTTTTCTGTGATAGTTTTAGCATCTATTTGTGCATCTTTGAGTATTTCCTGTTTTTGTACTTCACAGGAATGGAATCACACAGTGTGTACTCTTGTATTTTCCTTTACTTTGTGAAAATCATTTTGCATGTAGTGCTTTCTCATTGCTGCTAACTAAAAGTCTCTTATGTGACTTCCCCACAATTCTCCATTTTATTATTGATGGTCATTTGGGCATTTTCCAGGTTGGGACAATTAGGTACAAAGCTGATTGACCTTGAGTCCTGGTATATGAGTACTTGCTAGGGTTTCTCTGAGGGGGGCTGTGTACGTACATATAAAACTAGCTGTGGAATTGCAGAATCAGTATGTATATATTCAGCACTGCCTGGTGTTGCCATAGTGATGTGCTTATTTAAAGTCACCCCAGCACTATATTCTTTACATCCTCATCAACAGTTGGTATTAGACATTTTTGTCAGTCTGGTATGTATTTAGTGGTGTCTCACTGAGGTTTAAATGGCATTTACCTGATTAGTAATTAGCCTGAATACCTTTACACATGTGTATTGGCCATTTAAATTTCTTTTATGAAGTTTCCACTTAAATATGTTGCCCATTCCCCTATAGCGTCTGATTTATAATTCTTTTTTTTTTTTTTTTTTATCCTCACCCGAGGACATTTTTCCATTTTTTGTTCAAGTAGAGTGGGAGGGAGAGAGGAACAGAGAGAGAGAGAGAAACATCGATGTGAAAGGAACACATCGAGTGGCTGCCACCCGAACAACCGACCAGGGCCAGGGACAAACTGCAACCGAGGTACGCGCCCTTAGCGGGAACCGAACCCGGGTCTCTCAGGACCGCAGGCCGACGCTCTAACCACTGAACCAAACCGGCCAGGGCTGATTTATAATTCTTTATATATTCTCGATATGCAAACTTTCTCACTTAAATGTGTTTTCCCATATCTTCTCCCACTTTGGCTTGCCTTTTTAGTTTATTTAAAGTATCTTTTGATGAAAAGAAGTTCTTACTGTCATCAATTTGTCCTTGTGTTTTTAAAATTTAGATAACATAAATGAGTATCAACTCACTACATGTAGATTCCATTGAAAACATTTAAAAGTGATGTGGCAGCTTATTTTTAAGTGCCAGTCTTTTAAATATACTGAAAATTATATCCTTTTTTACAATATAAACTATTTAAAATTTTAGAGATTATGTAAAATTTTGTAAAAAGGTATATACTTTTCCTTTTAGAGGTTATGGGATCAAAAGAGCTTGAAGACCACTGCTGTAGACAGTCACCTTCACCTCCTCCATTCCTTTGATTCCTCCCACATGGGGCTATTCATTATTCCCCAAACATACTACACTATTGTTGCTTTTTCACATGTGGGTTACTGTCCCCTCTGCTACCTTTTATTCCTTCAAAACTTTGGTTTTGTATCACCTCTTTTGTAAAAATGTTTGTGTTCTCAATACCAGAGTGTATTTATAGAGAAAGCTGGTCTGTGTTAAAATGCCTGAATTCAGAAGACTAAAGGAGCAGTTAATTACTATCCTTGATTTGTGTACTGCCCTTTTATTAAACACAATCTGAGTTTTACTCCTGTTTTTACAAGTTAAAGCACATGGTTAGTCCTTGAGAGGGTTTGATGGATAAATCCCGCCAAGTTGTTTTCCCAGGATCTGCTCTCAAGCCAGGCTTTCATTTTTCCTGTTGTTCCAGTAGCCCTTTTTCCTAACCTCAGTGTGTCTATCCCGTTTCATCTTGATCTGTTTTTTCTCTCTCTCTCTCTCTCTGGGATCACTTTGAGTCCATATATGTTTATAAGCCACGATTCCCAGCTTGTCTTATATGCATATTTATTAAACATGACTTATGCATCTATAGAACCTTCATAAAAATTGGGGGGAAAGGGAGCCAGGAAGAGGCTTTCACCAGGAGAACAGCAATTGACTAATTTGGGGATAGTTTCCAGTCAACTTGGATTTTACCTAACTGTACTAGTATCCTCCCACATTTCTTAATTTTGTTAGGATATGAAGAAACCTTTTTGCATGTCTTCCTAAAGTTAGGATACACTGTCTAGACAGTCCTATGATTTCCCAGGCAGTGACTATCAAAAAGTGAAGTGAGGTTCTTTTTAAGGAACAGTTCACTCAAAGTTGACAGCGTATTTTGTTCTATGCACTTCCTGTTTATTTATCCATTCTAACATATTTTTCTACAGATGAGCCTGTAGTTTACCCAGTTACATGTTCTAGACTCTACCTGCCCACTTCCTTCAGACCTGGTTTCCAAGAATTTCTGAGGTTTTTTTTTTGGTACCTGCCCCTAGCAGGAACCAAACCAGGGACTCTCTGGTCCACAGGCCGATGCTCCAACCCCTGAGCCAAACCGGCCAGGGCGAGGTTTGTTTTGTTTTGTTTTGTTTTGTTTTGTTTTGTTTTGTTTTGTTTTGTTTACTGAGACATATCAAGCTCTGATAACCTGTGAAAATTGGGGCATTTTCTTGTCTATAATCTTTGAAGATTACCTCCTGGCTTGTACTCATATCTGCAAATATTTTCAGTTTGCACTGAATAGAGAATTCAGCTTACAAGGGCCTGGTATAAGGACTCTCTGACCAGTTTCCCGAATCCTGATTTCAACTAACTTAGTGTTTATGCTTTTTTTTTTTTTTCCAGTTTGAAAACTGTTTTCTTTGATGAACAAAAAAGCAAAATAAGGGTTTTAAGTGTTCCAACTTCATTTTGCCATCTGTTAACATCATGCTGTCCTTTGCTAAGCGTTCCTCAGTGCTTTGCTATCTGCTGTAAGCATTCATTAGTGTTCTGTATGCCAAGCACTCTTCCTAACACTTTGCATGTTTTTTTTTTTTTTCCTCACCCGAGGATATTTTTCCATTTTTTGTACAGATAGAGTGGGAGGGAGAGAGAGAGAAACATCGACGTGAAAGGGACACATCGAGTGGCTGCCACCCGCACGACCGACCAGGGCCGGGGACAAACTGCAACCGAAGTACATGCCCTTAGCGGGAACCGAACCCGGGTCTCTCCGGACCACAGGCCGACGCTCTAACCGCTGAGCCAAACTGGCCAGGGCCACTTTGCATGTTTTATCTCATTTAATTCGCCTTACCTTCTCATAAATTTTATTGAAATTTGAGGAAACGAGGGCACAGAGAGGTTAAGTAACTTGCCTACGGCCACAAAGCTAGTAAGTAGTAGAGCCAAACAGCCTAACTCAGTCTCTGGCACTTCCCTTCTGTGCCACGCTGCTTTTTATTTGTTATGTGAAGTCAGTGCAGTGGACAGTAAGGCAGTGGCTCTAAGCCTTGGCTGAGTTGATGACTTCCCTGTGCGTTTTTGTTTTTGTATTTTTTTAGAAAGAAAGGAAGGGATGCCCGGCCAGTATGGCAAGAGGTCGCCAGTTCAATTCCCAGTCAGGGCACATGCCCAGGTTATGGGCCCAATCCTCAGTGGGGGGTATGCAGGAGGCGGCGAATCGATGTTCTCTTTCATTGATGTTTCTCTCTCTCTTTCCCTCTCCCTTCGTCTCTCTCTAAAATCAATAAAGAAAAAAATAATTTTAAAAAAAGAGAGAGAGAGGAAGGGAGAGAGAGAAACATCGATGGAAGAGAGAGAAACATCCATGTGAGAGAGAAACATTGATTGGCTGTCTCTTGCATGACCCCCACTGGGGATCGAATCCACAACCCAGGCATGTGCCCTGACTGGGAATCGAACCGAGACCGCTCAGTCCATGCAACGACGCTCAATCCACTGAGCCCCACCAGCCGGGCCCCTGTGCACTTTTTAAAAAGTCAGCTATATTGGTGGCCAATGAACTCAAGGGTAGATAGGTAGTATGCTACATGAAGGGCAAGTTTTTTGCTAATACCACAAGAGTCTCTGGTCCAATGAATTGAGTTTGATAGTAATCCTTGCTATAAGTGAAAAAAGAAAATAAAAGTCAACTATTGAGGTATAATTTACACACCGTACAATGACCTGTTTTAGGCCAGGGGCAACGGCCACGGGGACAGAACATGTGGTGGGACTGGGCCTCGTTGCCATTAGCCTGATCATCTTTACCTACAGCACTGCCTGGGTGATTCTGTTGCCATTCACAGCAGTGTGTCATCCACAAGTATTTCCTGCCCTGAGCCGATACTGTTGCTGTTCCACTAGTCACAGGCCATCTGCTGCTCCTGTTTGTGGGTTTGTTCATCACCTGTATGATGCTGAAGAACCAGGTGATCAGAAAGGCTCAGTGAGGGCCCAGCTGGGATGAGGCTGCCGAACCCTTCTCTGCCTCCCCTCCAGGGCATACCAAGGTGGGGGCCCACAGCACCTGCCCAGGCACTGCAGACACCCATGGGGGATGGGGCTGTTCAGAGCTCACCCCTGACTGACCAGAACTCCAACTCTTCCCCTGCTCACTCTTCTAGGGTCAGGAGGAAGTACCTGGATGTCTCCTCTTCCCCTTCTGGCTCAGGGCCTGAAAGATGTTGGTTCTCCCTACCTCACCTTCAGACCTTGCCACTTTTCCCTCTGGGTTCTACCCTCTTGCCTCAGTGTCCCTCCTGTCACCTGCTGATGTTGGAATTGGCAGGTCCTGAGACATCATGTGGCCCCTCTCCACAAGTCCTGTTCCTCAACGAAGGCATCTTTCCCAGGTCTGACATAGCCTGGGACCTCACAGGACTTGTGGACCTGGAAAGCCTAAGGAGAGGACTGGCAGGCCTCAGGACCACCACCAGGCCTCGGCACATTAAGGTGGTCACAACGAGCCCCCAGACCTTCTTCTCATGGAGGCCCAGCCCGTCAGCCCTACCACTGAGGGAGAGCTGAATAATAAATGATGGTGTGTTAAAAAAAATTACCTGTTTTGTGTGTACAGTTTGACGACTTATAGTAAATGTAGTGAGTTGTGCAACCAACACCACACTCCAATTTTAGGATATTCCCATTTTGTGGAGCTTTTTCAACATGCACATTTGAGTCCCTTACCAGACTCAGTCAGAATCCGTGACTGGAGTCAGGGCTCTGTGAGTGATTCTGCTGTGCAGACGGGGACTCAGTCTGGCAGCAGTGTGAAGGATAAAGAGGACTGCGTTCAGGCCACACCTCTAGGCCCTTCGTGATCTACCTTCTGATCTGCCCGCCTCATTTCCGACTTTCTCCCCAGGCATTTCCATCGTAGGCAGGCCCAGTCCCGACTCCGACATATATTTGTTTCAGCCTCCTTGTTTTTGCATCCTACCTGGATTGTGTACCTCCTCCTCTCATGGTCTGTTCATTTTCTAGAAGAGAGTTTAGGTACCTCTTTGGTTTCCTTTATGTATCCTTCTCTTGCCACTCTTGTCTCGCTAGGGAGTTGTCAAGCTTCCATGCGTCTGCCCTGCCATCGCACTGTGTGCGGGAGTTCTGTCTCATCAGAGCATAAGGTCTGGCCGGTGGGAATTCATGTCACATATATATACGTGTTTTAATAATTTTTAAAAATCCTCACTCGGGGATATGTTTTTATTGATTTTTAGAGAAAGAGGGAGAGACAGAAACATGGTGTGAAAGAGAAATACCAGTTGCCTCCCATACGTGCCCTGACCAGGAATTGAACCTGTGGCCTTTTGGTGTATAGGATGACGCTCCAACCAACTGAGCCACCCAGGTAGGGCAGTGTTACATATATTTTGTTTTGTACTGTTGAACATAGAAGTAGGACACATCAGACTGGATCGTGGAGATGGTTGCACAACTCAATTTACAGCACTTGAGTTGTACACAAATGCTAATTTTGTGGTGTGTAAGTTATATCTTAATAAAGTTGTTAAAAAGCTCCACAGGTAAGCTTGATCTTCAGGACGGATTAATAATGTATAACACTTGGTTGCTTTTAAAATTTTTGTTACTGAATTTTAAATGTTTGGATGTGTATTTTCGAGTATCACATTAAGCATACATGCTTCTCTGTCTTTACAGGAATCTTACGGCCCCTGAATGTTTTGTCGTCTTCAGCCTATCGAAACTGTGCCAGGAATGCCTCTCTTAGTTTTGCACTGTCCACCCGACATCTTTGTCACATTCAGACTCCAGTGGTTTCCTCTGCGCCCAGACTTAGTACATCTGTCAGAAACCTGACATGGGGGTGTACTGGAACAATCCTCAATAGGTACAGTATTTTTCAGTAAGCATGGTGCTTGGACAAAAATTCTAAATATTCATGCTTGCAAAGACATCCTAGAAGTGGATGATGCTTTTGTGTACCTATAGTTTACTCTATATGCTTTGCCTGATGCAGTGGAAGAATATGATTCCCATCCATTACGCCTATGCCCAGAGCAGGGACCACCAAACAGCACGCTTCTGATGTTGTAGAGGGGTTTCCTGGATGGACGCTCTCAGCTAAAGTGGAGGGTGAGCAAGATGCTCATCTTACAAGGATGGGTTGCATGTGGTGTTCATTCAGTCAGCAAGTATTTAGTAAGACACACCTGGGTGCCTAGCACTGTACTTGGCAGAAAAGATACAACTAGTTGCCCTGGCTAGTTTGGCTCAGCAGTTAAGAGCGTTGGCCCTCAGACCAAAGGCTCTCAGGTTCAAGTCCAGTCAAGGGCATGGACCTGGGCTGCAGGTTTGATCCCCAGCCCCGGTCGAGGTCATGTGGGGGGCAACAGTTTGATGTGTCTTTCTCTCTCTCTCCTTCCTTCTACTCTCTCTAAAAATCTGTGGAAAAAAATATCCTCAGGTGAGGATTAACCAAAATAAATAAATAAAACAATGATGAACAAATTGAAGTCCTTAGGAGGTGACAGTCTAGTCAGCAGATGGATTAAAAATCAGATGATTGAAACATAGTAGTGTGAGTTCTCTCAGGGACTGAGGGGGTAGATTACAGACTGGTCTGTAAGTTGGTGATAGTTGCTATTATATATGCATGAAGTCATGGATCATTTGAAGAAACTATATAAATTAACAGCTGTGATCCAGTGGAGCTGCTTCACTTATTTCTAAATACAGAAATGGATTTGATTGTTTGGTCATTCTTATTGCTGAGTTAAAATTTTAAAAATATGTTTTAGAGTGGCCTCCGTGCTCCCAGATGTCCTGAAGCCACCAGTCAGAACTGTAACATATTTCAGTGCACGAAAAGGCAAGAGAAAGACTGTGAAAGCTGTCATCGACAGGTTTCTTAGACTCCATTCTGGCCTTTGGCTAAGGAGAAAGGTGAGTCTTCACACTGTTACTTGATTGAAAAAGGAGTGTGAGCAGATTGAAGTGAAGCAGAATTCAGCCTATTTGCAGCATACCTTCCTCCCATCTTACCAGTAGCTGTTATAGCGCAGTACTTAAGTACTGGCTTGGTAGGAATTGCTTCATGTTAGTGAATCCATGTGAAGAAAACATATTCAAACATTCATAAAAAAAAAAAAAAATACAATGGTGAAGGTCTTCCATGTAGAACAGGTTTATTTCAGGTCTCTTACATGTCTGGCTTATCTAATGATTACCCCGTGAAACCCCCAATGTGTGATAATCAGTGGGAAGGCTCTGTTTAACCCTAGAGGAGTATTACATCAGAGGAGACCAGCGAGAACTGAGTCACATGGCTCAGAACTGGGGACTGGAGAGCTTCTCAGCCTACCCTGGATTCTCCAGGTAGCTTATCTTTATGGCAGAATATTAACCACACATACTATTTTTTTTTTTTTTAACTTTATATGTTTTTCTCTCTGTTGGTGAGTACAATTGGGGACCATAGCAGACAGAACTCTAATACTTACTCTGGCCACAGACCACAGCCTCTAAGGGAGATTCTGATGAATTATTACTTCTCTGTCCTCTCCCACTGAGTGTTGTGAGCAAGACTACTGGCTTTTTTGTTGTTGTTCATGTCCTTATTTATGGAAACAGTAACAGATTAGAAAGCAGCAGAAGACCAGAGTTTTGTAAAACCACCTTTGAGTTGTGATAACTATTCAAATCCTAATTCCCTTTTACTACTTGGAAGTTAATCTGAGTCTTGAAAGATCAAAATGTGTCTCCCTGTAAAAATAAAACAGTTGGTAGAACTTTATCACTAGTTGATAGATTGAGAGGATTATCCCCTATCTCATAAACAATCCCAAATGTGCACATAAATAGGTTAGTTGGCACTCTCAGCTCATTTCTTCACCGGAACAATACTGTGGTAGTTTCCCCACACTAGTCAGTAGAAGCTCATGTGCTCTGTAAGCAGGAGAACTAAGTAGTTAAACTACTAGTGCTGAATTTTGGACTATTGGAAACATTTACACTCCCTTTTATCATACCGATTATTTCCAGGACCTCATCAGACATTAGATAAAATGAAATGGGTGGTTTTCTTTGCCTGCTTTCCCATGTCCCTGTTATTGGGTCCTGAAACCTTCATATTGTTGTAGAAGACCTGATCAAATTCTCTGGTAATAGTACCTAGTCCTCTTCCAGGGCCCCAAAAGTATTCCTTGTGCAGAATGGCCTGTTTCAGCAAAATCTAATTTTAAGAAAATAAAAAATCTGGGTGGATTAATTGACACTAACGTATAAAAACTGAAAGTATTTTATGTGGGACAGTTCATCCAGTTATCCCTAATTTTTATTGTTTATTCTCTCCTTCCATTTCTGAACCTAGAGATTGTCTAAAATGTTTCAAGTATTTTCACATTGTTGCATTCCACAGAATAATCTTCAAAGGATACTGGTGGTGATGGCTAGGACAGCAGATTATCTCTCTGTAGATCAGAGGTCTACCGGGACTCAGTTTGTCTTGCAGACTAGAAAATTGTGGTGCAAATATGAGGATTTTGATCTGATTCTTTCCATTTTATTTTTATGTATTTTTTTCTTTATTGATTTTAGAGAGAGAAGGAGAAAGAGATAGAAACATCAGTTGGCTGCCTCCTGCATGCCCCCCACTGGAGATTTGGCCCACAATCTGGGCATGTTGTCCTGACCAGGAATTGAACCAGCAGCCTCTTGGTGCATGGGTCAGTGCTTAACCACTGAGCCACACTGGCCGCGCAGATCTTTCAATTTTAAATTGTAGTCAATGAATAGTAAAAATCTAATCTCTGGCATTTCAAAACCAGAACTCTTTTTAAAAAAAAATATGTTTTTATTAATTTTTTAGGGGGAGAGGGAGAGAAATACCAATGTGAGAAACATTGATTGGCTGTCTATTGCATGCCCCCTACTGGGGATCGAGCCCACAACCTGGGCATGTGCCCTGACCAGGAATCAAACTGGGACCTCTCAGTCCATGGGATGACACTCAATCCACAGAGCCACACTGGTCGGGCTTAAGACCAGAACCCTTAAATAATCTTTCTTTCTTTCTGAGCATCACTGTATTATGGAACTTACTGGTCATAGTGATGACACAGAAACCTGTCAGAAACCCAAGGCACCTTCTCAGCAAAGAGCTATGGTTTTGTTTAGTTAGTATGGTGCCCTAAAGAGCGCTTGGCTTAAAAGACCCAAGGTCTCTTCCTAATAACATGGGTTCTAGTCTCACCTCCCCTGTAACTTACTTCGTGGTTTTAGTCAAACATTAACCTGGATGGTACCTACAGTCTCTCCTAGTTTAAACAGGCTATGGTTATAGTTTTTATATTTAATTTAATTTTCTGTTTCTTTGGAAATTCTTCAAAATTAATAATGCATGGATGCTATATATGACAGTTCTGGGTTAAACATATAGGCTAACCATTCCTTCACCACTCCTAGTAATAGTTCCGCTGTATTCATCATTCCTTACAAAAGTACTTACTGTAGATATTGGTCCCTAGTGTGTAGAAAGAATAAATATATTTGAGAACTGTGCTTCTTGGCCCTTACACTACTTAACCCCCTTAAATGAGCATAAATGTTACCAACCTAGCTGGTATTCCCTTCATCCTCCTCCACATCAGGAAGAACAGTGGTGTAGTTCCTAAGAACTCTTCTCAGCCCTCTGACCTCAGTCTGCTACAAAACTTTTCTAATCAGTGGTTGTTTCTCTTCAATCTATAAAATGAGAATAATAGTATGTGTAGAAGAGTGTTAAAGAGATAATAAGCACTGCATATAAAGTAAGCTATTATCATTACCGTGCACTTCACTAGGCACAAAGATTTATTTAGCTTTATTTTCTGTGGTTTTCATTTAAATTTTTTTCAAAATATTAAATTATTAATATATTTCTTTTTCAAACTACACATGCTTTCTTTATCTAATCCCCACTGAGAATCATGTCTTTCTGAGAAACATACCAGACCCGATGAAAGTCTGGTCATTGTTGTCACTGGGCCTATAAACCATATGTAGTAAAGCTCTCTGTTGTTTCCTGAATGATATGTTTTAAAGTCCTTATGATATTATCTGACAGGCTGGTTATAAGAAAAAATTATGGAAGAAGACAGCAGAAAGAAAAAGACGTCTGCGGGAATTTGTGTTCTGCAATAAGACCCAGAGTAAACTCTTAGATAAGATGACAACGTCTTTCTGGAAGAGGCGAAACTGGTATGCTGACGACCCTTATCAAAAGTATCATGATCGGACAAACCTGAAAGTGTAGACCAGAAGTTCTGTGATTTCTCAGTTATTGAATATGTATCTTTGTGTATATATGATGTCTTCGCAAAATGAATACGTATAAAGCTTGATGTAAGTTGTACCAACTGATATGGAAACATACAGTACCAACATTAAACTTACCAGAATTTAAAAATTTAATGGATTAAATATTCCCAGATTTGTTCAGGGAAATAAAAGTTTAAAATTTATTACTTTTAACAAGTGGTAATGGCTTAACTAGTTGTTCCAATTAGGCTTACTTAGTTACAAGGAATCTCAAGTTAGGACAGACATAAAAATACTCTAAAGCTATTAAGTAAGTTCACGCAGTGTGACTTCTTTTTCAAGGACACATGCCTGGGAACTCAGGGGCCACCCCACCACCTCCATCGCCCTCCCAGAACTAACTCGCAGGCCTCAGGAGGAGCACAAATCCTATGGTGGCCCTGGATCAAGGCACCTCCAGGAGCCTGGGCAGCAGGACATGGTGGGGCTTTAGGCTTGGGGTCTGCCAGACGTGTGACTCGGTTCTTTTTCTTTTTCTTTTTTATCCTCACTCGAGGACTTTTTTTTTTTTTTTTTTTGACATTTTGTTCAGATAGAGAGGGAGGGAGAAAGAGAGAGAGAGAGAAACATCGACGTGAAAGGGACACATCGAGTGGTCACCACCCACACGACCCAACCAGGGCTGGGGACAAAGCGCAACCGAGGTATGCACCCCTAGCGGGTCTCTCCAGACCGCAGGCCAATGCTCCAACCGCTGAGCCAAACCGGCCAGGGTCGGTTCTTTTTCAATTGCAGGCTCCATTCTCTCTCTGATGACCAATTTGTCTGATTCACAGCTGCTGCTTCCTCTTCGTTTCTGCTTCCTCGTCATAACTCTGGATGCCCCTTAGGTTCATTTCCACACCATGACCCTCAGTTCCTGTCTCTAACTGCCAAAAGCTTTTTTTTTTATCCTCACCCGAGGACATTTTTTCATTTTTTGTTCAGGTAGAGTGGGAGGGGGAGAGAGAGAGAGAGAAACATCGACGTGAAAGGGACACATCGAGTGGGTGTTGCCACCCACACGACCAACCAGGGCCGGGGACAAACTGCAACCAAGGTACGTGCCCTTAGCGGAAACCAAACCCGGGTCTCTCTGGACCGCAGGCCGACACTCTAACCACTGAGCAAACCGGCCAGGGCTGCCAAAAGCTCTTAACTAGCCAGCCTATCTTTTAACACCAGGTCTCATCTCAGGTCACCAACCAGTGTAGGTATTGGCTGTTCAGGAGCCCGCCTGGCCCACTTGGTTGTGTTAGAAGGTTCATGTGGAACAAAAAGTAGTTGAGGGCAGTTTCACTTAGAGGTGAGCATGGGGTGGCCACACGTCTGGTATAATAGCTTCACTGTGTTCATAACAGTTCTCACTTAGTTTACTGGAACAAGACTTTTTTAAAAAATATGTTTTTATTGATCTCAGAGAGAGGGAGGGAGAGAAACACTGATCAGTTACCTCCTGCATGCACCCTCCCGGGGACTGAACCTGCAACATGGGCGTGTGCCCTGACTGGGAATTGAACCGGCGACCTCCTGGTGCATGGGATGATGCTCAACCACTGAGCCACACCGGCCAGGATGGAACAATTTTTTTTAGAAAGAGAAGAGTAAATGAAATAGCTTATCAGTATGCCCATTCATGAAACAGAGGTGGCTATACAGATGAAGATAAAAACTTTTTACCCAAGAGTTAAAAGATACTGCATTTTTTAAAAGTTAGTTTATTCACTTGAGATTTCATATATTTTTTTTCATCCTCACCCGAGGATATTTTTCCATCTTTTGTACAGATAGAGTGGGAGGGGAATAGAGAGAGAGAGAGAGAGAGAAATCGATGTGAAAGGGACACATCGAGTGGCTGCCACCCGCACGACCAACCAGGGCCAGGGACAAACTGCAACCGAGGTACATGCCCTTAGCGGGAACCAAACCCGGGTCTCTCTGGACTGCAGGCCGACACTCTAACTGCTGAGCCAAACCGTCCAGGGCGAGATTTCATATTTTTAATTGTGAGGATAAACTTCTAAAATTTTCCAAAGGTACACTGTATAAACTAATGAGGAAGAAGTCATCTCAGTCATTTTAGAAATGATGCAAGAGTCCAGCATTATTCACTTGAAGAGGTCGGGTAGGAGACAGAAGCAGACAGGTGACTTAGTGGGTCTGGTCCAGGGCAGTGGTTCTCAGCTCTCCCGTTAGAACCATCTGGAAAGCATTTTCTTTCTGGAAAGTATTTTCAAACAACAGCAGTTTGCCTGGGTGACAGACCATTATTAAATAGAAGGTGCCTCAACTACTGCTTCAGATTTAACCAAACTGAAATTGTGTGGCATGCCATACCAGGATTGCTGGAGGGATTCTTTGAAATAGTGTGTTCATTAAAAGGACAAGGGGAGAGAAGGGGGGTTCGAAAACCAGACAGCCGAGTGTGTCTGTTCATGGGGCTGGTTAGTCGTGAGCAGGCATCTGATTCGAGAGGTTAGATCCTGGAGCATGGAATGACATTCTGTTTTGATGGGTTTTCGTTTCCTCAGACTTCTGAGATGGCAGAAATCACCCCCTGACAAGGTTCCCACATCATTTCCCTCCTGCCTGGCTCCAGCCTCTCTGACTCCGCTGGCAGTGGGATGGAGCCTGGTGCTGAAGGAGTTGAGGAGGACACTTGCACCCCACCTCCTTGACTTCTCTAGTGCAAACACGGACAAGGGCCTCTCACTGTGGCCTCAGCGCACTTTGGTTTTTCTTCTCGAGGGCTGGGACGGGAGGTGGAGACCAGGACGGGCAAGCAGGCCTCAGCATCTAGAGATGGACTGAAATGGAAGGGCTGGCAGGTACACAATTGAGGGGACAGGGAATTTTCATATATATAATTTTTGTTTTGTGGGTAGCACAGGGATGGGCATGTGTCTACATCGCTGCTAATCCTCGCACCAACCTTGCAAGGGGATATTATTTACCCGTAGTTGGTTTGAGGAAACTGAAGCTTACAGAAGGTTAAATAAATAACCCAAAATATAACTAATGAGTCACTCAGAACTTAGGACTAACTCCTTGGAATCCTGTGTATTTTCCTGAGTCTTCTGACAACATGAACATTCACATCTGGATCAACAGGTGACTGGAATCTAGCATGATAAATACTAAGTACTTCTTCATGACTGTACCAGGCAGCTCTTCAGTTTTACATCTGTCACTTAACCTGGCTAATCTCAGTTCTGTTCACTGGACTTGGCTCAGTACGTGAATAAATGGATTTTCAGCCTGTCCATCTCTTCATCTTCCTTTCAGTCTTCTGACTCTGCTCGTCCTGCTGCTCTGTTTACAGTGCTCGTGTCAGCCATACCCAGTGTGAGACTATAAAGGCAAAGAAAAGGAGTGTTTCATTTCGATATTTCCATGTCTTTGCGACCACCCAGTAAAGCTGATGGGTGCTGGTCCGTATTTTAAAAGTGAGGGTTTCAGGGGTGTGAGGGCATCTGGACCCCAGTGTACCTCCAAATGCACACCCTCCGACCTGCACGAGCCCCTCACCCCGACACCCCGCCCCCAGATGAGAAAACAGATTCCGAGAGGAAAATCGCAGGCCAGAAGTCTGCTTGCAGGGTCACGGCTGCCTTCCTGATGAATGGGAGCCTAATTCCACAGCCACTCCGTGTCCACTGGCGACCTTTAAAAATGTAAAACAAACAGACTCCCAGATTGATATTTGTGTGATCAACTGGTTTTCAAAACACTGACAGAATTTAATTTTTTTTCCGTGCAGCAAGTCTATGCAGTAGATATGGGGCCAGGTCACCAGGCACCAAGCCTGTTAGTGGTCGGTACCGATTTCGCAGGCCTTACACGGCCAGCAGGCTGAATGTTCCCCACCCCTGTGCCTTGCCACCTTCCACGTTGTTTTAAAAAGTATTTTTTTTCATAAGCCCAACATTACAAAGGTATTTTTTAAAAGAAAACTGTTAAGACTTTATTCAAGATAAATACCAAGCATCATAAAACAGCAGAACTTCAGCCTTGGGAATCCTGTGGTTTTATACCCTTAACACACAGTCCAGTTTGCTGTTTCATTACAGAACCTTCTCTAGGGTCTACAGAACTAACCTAGGGGACGAACGCACAGTCACATCCAGCTTGTCAGCTGTTTGAGAATGAAACACATCCTTTACCACTTCAAGTACTGTGCTGGGGAGAACGAGGAAGGTGCGCAATGGTCACGGTGGACAAGCACTGTTACCACGAACACGGACGGTTCACTGCGGAGAACACGTTTCTGAGGCCAGCGAAACGAGCACGCTGTTCGCACGCCGCCAGCAGGGGCTACGACTGAACTCTGCAGTTTACAAGTACAACACCACACCACCTCCTCCGAAACACGTCAGGTGTTCAAAGGCAAATAACCAAAGGTTATTACACGAAAGGGAAAATTACAGACTCGAGCTAGCATTTTGTAAACAGCCTGTGTCTACGTATCAGCAAATTAAGAACAGTTAGTTACCTCCTTGAGACAGAACACCACGCTGCGAGGTGTTCATGTTTTAAGCCGGTCCACGCAAACAACAGCTTGTTGAATCAGTAAACAGGTTTCGCCATTAATATGACAGCTGCTCTCGGTTGTAAGTGTTTGTAAGAGAGACATCAACTCCCAAGTCAACACTTGAAGGAAGAAGTTAATTTATATTAAGACAGCAGTATGGATACCTTTGTATGGTTAAACCTCGAGTGAGAAGTAATACAGCGTGTCGGAGCGCCTCAGGCTGGCTTTTGGCATCGTCGAGTGCAAACTTGATGGTCTGGACTCGCTGAAACTGTCCCTTGTAAAATAGCGAAAGTCTAGCTTGTTCACGTTAGAATTTTAATCTCTGCTGCTACAGGCATTATTTGGCAAGAAAAAAAGTTGCTATAAAGCTGCATAAATTAAGCTTTTTATGCACTTGTTTCTGATAATTCTGGGCACTCCTGACTAACAGATACAAAAGCATATGTTTTTCCTCTGTCTGAAACTATTCTGTGAGCTTCAAGGAAACAGACTTTCTGTCTTCCCTAAATAGGTTTAGGTTGAGTATTAGTGGGTGTGAGGCACAGACAACGAGCAGACGGCTTCCATTTGTCCTCCAAATCACACATTTGCTTTTAGGTTTATTTTCCTAAATCCTTTTGTAAATTACAAAGTCACCCTCAGAGTAATTATGGGAAGAAGGCATGCAAATATGCGTGTTGATAACAATGAACTTCAAGTAGAAGCCTTTCTGAGGTGGCTAAGATCCAGCCAATGTGTCATCAGCAAAGACCACTGATGTCCAATCGCGTAGCTCAGTAATGAATGAACAGTCTCTAACTGGGGCTGTTTACAGCTGGTTGACAGTAAGTTCCAGGTGGTAGGTAACACTAATTCTCTAGTCTTCGGGGCATATCTATCAACAGACACAATCCATGTATTACAGATAACTGGGCTGTACCCACTGCATGCATTACACTGGAAGGAAACACCCACTCTAAGCACAAATAACAGTCCTGCATTTAGGCTCAGCTCTCCAAGAGGAGACCCGCTCCGTCGCACCAAAATACTATTTAATCCAGATCCTTCTTTCCTAGCTAAGTTCTTAGTCTAAGAATGGAGTCCCTTAGATAGTGCTTTGTTCTCCTACTAAGCAATCTGGGCTTGTACAAATGCCCATGAAGGCCTGGAGTGCCCAGGAACAGGCCACTTCCCTCTTGTTCATGTTCTGTACGAGCCAGAAAGTGTACAGAAGGGTGTGAGCCACCGTTGCCCCTGGACCTGAGCAAGTCACATCCACAGAGCTCACCACTGACACCTTCCTAGAACCCAGCATTCTGGTTGTCACACAGGCGTCTCGGGTGTGTTTTATAGCACGCCTGAAACAGCATGTTTCTAGGTTTTGTATTGGTTTGGTTGATTGGTTGGTTTTTGCTATATTCTCTGGAAGAAGGTGCTCAGATTGTAAGCTCTACCCGGGGAAGAAGTCACAGCACAGGTCACTGTGGAGGAGAAACAGTCATTCGTCAGGAACTCTGGACACATTCAAAATGATTCCTCACGACAGCTCTGTGAGTCCACATGCCCAAGAAGTTTTCCCAAGGGTGAGCCACCTGCCCAAGGCAAATGGTAAATCCCCCAAAAAGATTCAGAAGCTCCTCACCCTGAATCCAAGGGGAAGACAAGCTTCCCATGACCCTTCTGTTACACTGGGCTGTGCCCCTGACTGCTCTGCTCATCTAGAATATTCCGTCACTAGAATATCTCCCCTCCATTCTGAACCTCCCTGACATACTGACTCAACAGCTGTGTGAGCAAGCGGACCGCCGTCCTGCAGGGAAAGGGCGCACTGGAGTTGTGGTTGGGAGCTTTCTAAGACATTCTCTAGACAAAGAGTTTTTACACGTCTGTTTTCGCAGTTTTCTTACATTATCAGAACCTCTAGCAGCCCTTGCAAGTCCATTATATGAAGCCAAAAGCCATATATATGTACACTGTAGTCCAAAGTATTAGTACCAAGAACAAAAAAAGTTTAAAAAAATGCCTTTGCATTTACAGGACTAAAAGTGAAGTATGCAACAAATAAATTACAAATGTACATCTGGGCAGTGAGGGGGATTCTCTTACATTTCTAAAAACACTGCTGTCTGTAATGACAATCCAATCGTGGAAAATGACCAACCTCAGAAGACAGGGTCACACCCTCCCCAGCAAAATAAAGAAAAGGAAAAACCAAGATCCTAAAAGTGGAAGAGGGGGAGAGGGAAAAGGCCGTGTCTGTGAGGCTGCGCACTCAAGCACACCAGCTTGCAGATGTCTGTTGTTAGTGAAGAGCTCTTTAAGGCAGAGAAGAAACATTCTGTGTATCCGGTGCTGTTGGCTCATCTCACTCACGTGGTTTCAGTGGCCGAGGATGAGGTACTTTTCTTCCTGAAGCGAGATCGGAGGATTCTAGGAGGTGCCTGGCAGAGGAAACAGAAAAAGGCATCCCTCAATTTGGCATAAACGTGGGGTCTCCTGAGGACAGCACCTAGATAGGTTTGTGTTGAGACATCTTGTTCTTTTGGCCAAATGCTGGGGCTGGGGGCTCACGCTGAGGTTCCACAACAGAATCAGAGGCGCTTTCCAAGCGTCTCTGGGGAGCCGAGCCCCTTGAGAAGGGCATGCCTGCCTGTCCATGCAGTCCTAAGTCCCTGGGCCTCCCAAGCGAATGGCTGCACAGAGCGACACATCCTTCTTGTTTCTGCCTTGGGAGCAAAATGATCTTAACAAGTGACTCAGCAGAGAGAAATGCCGCCCCATGTCTCCCCTCGCCTTTGTGATTTTCTTGGGAACGACCTCCTGTTTCTTGTTACGGGCTTCACATTTCCATCGCCAAGGTTCCAGTCCTCTTTTTGGACGTGAAGTTCTTTCATTCACAGCAAACCGCACCACAAAGTGAAACACAGTCTCTAAATATAAAGGGTTTTCTCCTAGCCTAGCACTCAAGGGGGTTCACACAAGGGCCCCACCCCACCTCCAAGCCGGCTGTGTCTACTTCTCTGCACTCAGCTTCATCTACACACACTGTCCTTTCAGGCCTTGCCTCCCCCTGACTGCAACCCCCCCCCCTTCTGTCCTCTGTAGGACCAAGACCAGAGTCACTCCTGAGACCCTGCCCCACAGCCCAGTCCCACACAACAGGATTGTCACCTGGTTGGTTCTCACAGTGGCCCGCATCTGAGAGGACTAAGGACTCTGAGCCCTCGGCAGGCGGAGGGACAGACCGACACCTTTACCTTTACAGCAGTGAGCAATACAACCAATGAACTTTAACCTGCCTTGGGCTGCCGAACAGGAAACCAACTTGTGCAGCTTTGAAAAACAAAACCCAAATGGCACAGACCCCCAGGCCCTAGAATGATTCTGGCACCTTCCCCTCTAGCCTTCTCCCCACTTCAGAGCTGCCCAGGCCATAATGGGCTCCTCGGGCAGTGTCCGGACCCAGGACACCTTTCCCAAAGCCTCTAACTTCAAAATTGACCCAGGAGTGCCGCCTTGGAAAGGAATGTTGGGCTCCCGCACGCCGGGCTAAGGGCTGCAGTGCTGGTGTGAATCGCGGGCCTTGTGTTTGTGTAGGGAACCTTCAGTGCATGTCCTCGTCGGGGTCTCATGGGGTCTCTACACTGGGCACGGGATCCCATGCCTCAGATGGATTCTCAGGCCACAGTGTCCAGCAGATGGGGAATAGGAGAGGCGACATGAGGGGGCAGAGAGGAAGACTCGGGGCCCCCGTTCTGCAGCCCCACCTCTGAGCCCAAGGCCGGTGACTCCCTAGCCACGTCACAGAGCAAGGCTCATGAGGCTCTGGGCTTGGCCCTCCCACTGCAGAACTCCATGCTAATCTACAAATACCAGGTGTGTTGTTCTGTCATTGTACAGGGTTGTGCCCCTTTAGTAATGTTTTATGAATATCTACTTTGTACCAAGCACTCTGCTGTGTCTTGGAAATACTGTGATAAACAAGCTAATATATTTACAAAATCTTGTCAAATAACACATTCTGAGTTTTTCTTACCCTCCAAACACTCATTTCGGTTGCTTTTCGCTCACATAGGTTTATTTTTTTAATAAATAAACCAATTTTTAAAAAAGTTTAGACGCTATATTCCATCTCCTAATTCGAAACTAAATTACTAGGGTCTTCTTTGACCCCTGCCAAATAACTGGATGCTACCTAGTGGCCTGTCCTGCCTGTCTGAGGGAGGGAGATCTTCCCACCCCGGCACTCGGGCAAGGGCACTCGCGCAAGGCTGGGTGCCCCCCGAGAGGAGGCCTCCAGGACACCCAGGTCTCCAGGGCAAAGCCCTTGTGCACACACATGCTCCAACCCACAGCCCCAGACACCGTGTACCTCCAGGGGGAACTCCGTCTTCCGAAGCGCCTTATACTTGTACATGAAATCCAGCAGGTCTTCCTCCTCCTCATCAGAAAAGGCCAATGGTTTTTGGACCTGGTGGGGCTCCCATGCCTTCACACCACCCTCATCCACATCTCCCTCAACCACTTAATGTCCATTTACAATCTACACAGAGGAGACAAAGTACAGCGAGGAGGGTCAGTGCAGGAGCACGGAGGCAGGCAAGGGCAAGGTTAGGCACACAGCACGGAACGTCAGTCCTGTTAGGACAGCCGAGGCCCCTCTGTCTGAAGAAGCAGCCACTATCCTCTGGGGATCCTGCCAGGGAGGGGGGTCGGGATGGTGAGCGTGCAGCTGTGACTGACTACACACTGCAAAGGAACAGGCACAGGCTTCAGACTCTACTGGTGAGCTACCACCGCCTCCTTGGGAGAAGAAAGATGCAGCTGAGGCTGTGATACCACAGCAGGGGAATGCTGGGGCGGGGCTCCTCTCCAGAGGCCAGTGGCAATACTTTCAAAAGGGGGAATAGCATGGTTTTCTCTGTTCCACACACAAGCAATGCTGCCAGTGCATGACGCGTGCATATTCGGCTCCAGGCATTCTTTCAGACACGGCATGTACAATGCCAGGAGGCCTCACGGAGAACCTTAAGCAAAGCTATGTAGATGTTTCATGTGCAAGGCGAAGTCCTATAGAAGCAAAGGAGCCTAGTGGAAGGAGAATCTAGAAGTAGCCTTCATCTGAAAAATGACAGCAAGACTCCTGATTCAGTCGGCCTCGACTGAGCCACGGGAGGAGCTCCAGAATTAATTCACGTCACTGAACACAGTGTTCTTTACACGTTCAATGCTGAGCATATTCTGTGCCATCTGGCCAGACAGTCCAGCTTGGTCAAGATATGAAATAGTTCCTGTCCATGCACAGCCTATCTGACATCCACAGACACATCCTTCTATACTTTACATATTGTTTTTACCTAGAATCACAAAATACAAAGCTGGGGGGCTCTCAGATCCTCTTGTCCACTGCCCTGAGGCCTGCAGGCAGAAACCAGAGCTCCTTCTGGGACACCCTACCACTGCTCCCAAACACATATTCAGCCACCAAATGTGTCCTCTCCATGAAAAGGGAACTCGCTAGTATCAAAGCACCAGGTGTGGGCTAAGTAAAACTAACAACTAAACCCTAATCTTGAGTAGCTTCCCCAGGTATTACCCCCAACAGCCAGCAGGTGGCAGCCCGAGAGCACAATTGTCCTCACCTGGCATCTCAATGCTGAACTGTAGGCTGGGAGTGACCTCAGACAGCAGCACCTTAGCAAGGGCCAAGCTGAGATCACTGCCCTGCCTTTGACTCTTTTTGCTGTTGTTGTTCTGTGTATCCCCCGGCCTGCTCACTCTGGGTTTAGGTTTTCCTCTGGTCCCTTCTGCTGCCCAAAGCAGCTGCACCCTTCGGAGTGCTGACTGGAGATGGCAACTCCAAGGAGCCCTCCCTGAATCTCTGGCCCTGGCTGCTCCCCCCCCCCCCCCCCCCAGCACTTGGGCTGTGTCACAGAGCTTGTGCTGCGTGCCCTGGTTCTCACATCAGTCTCATTGCCTCAGCCCCGCAGACAGCGTCCTGAGCTTGGGGCCCATGGCAGATCCCGCCCTGGTCCCTCTGTGCACTGACCCAGGGCTGAACACACAGTGGCCACTCAGCCACTGAACAAGGTGGACTACTGGCATCATCTCAGAGAGCTCAGCTCTTGTCCCAGATCAGAGCTCGATACCCACCCACACGAAATTCCTTCTGGGCACAGACACCTCCTGCCTGCGGAGGAGAAAAAGACAGAAGCGCTCAGACCAGAGCAGAAGCTGCAGAAGCAGCCTGGCCAGCGCTGTCTGCCAGGGACCTGCATCCTGGGAGCGGGCTTGGGGCTGCTTGGAGTCTGCGCCTCCACACAGGCAGCTGCCTGTAAACCCGGACCACAGCTCCCCCTGCAGTAACCACTCCGGAGTTCGGAAGGCAGGTCCTCGGGCACCTGGCGATTGGGCCTGCGCACCCAGGCTGGAACGGCTGAGACTGCGCAATGAACTCACACGTTACCGAGGTCACAGCTGCCACCATCCCCATCTCAGGACTGAAACCAAAAGGGGTTCGAGTGTGTTCTCCACCGCACACTTGAGCACAGACTGAAGGGTGGAAAGGAAGTGACCCCTGGCCCACTAGGAGTGACAGGTCAAGGGGAACCCAGATATCCAGGCAGGGACAGAAAGCAAGTGTTCAACTCGGCTGCGGCTGGCAGCGAAGGAGGCTGCTGTGGGCAGCTCGCGGGCCAGAAGGAGCCTCCGATGGAAGCGACAGAGAGAACCTACTAAAAAGAGAAGAACCCTACTGATCACTGTCCACTGAGAGTTTCCACCAAGAACGTTGTGTGTAATATTTTGCCTGACTCTCGGGACCACGAGAATAAACATTCTGGACAAGCTGGCGTCTGGATGGCTATCGTGTGACACGGAGTCTCTCAACTGCGCTTCCCTCTTGGCAGTGGCCGCAAGGACGCCTGGCCCCCTTGACAGTCCAACCTCAGGGCTCGCATTAAAAATCCTCTCGCCTCTGCCTCCCTCCTACCTGCCTACTCCCTTTCCTCCGAGCCGCATTCCTCCTACGTCGGTTTGATCTATCATCTATATTCCTGTAAGGAGACAAATCCCTCTTGGAACGGGGAGTACTATAAATGAAGAAATAAAGCCATCCCGCCAAGAGGGGCACCAGGATGAAGATGAGGACGGGTGGTTGAGCAGGGTGTTGCTACCCACACCTTAGTCCTCCGGTGGCTCCCAGAGACAGCTGATGTGGGAGGAACGTCCCTTGTGGAAGGTCATTTGGACGGCCACCACCTCCAAATCTCAGAAGGTGGCAGTCAGACCTTGAGCCTGCAGAGTGCCACGCCTGGGGGCCTCTGATTTTCCACAGCAGGGGAATGAGTGTGTGGCCGTGGCTGACACTCCGTATTAGCACACACGTCAGCTCGGCTACAGCAGGCGGGAAGCAGCTCCCTCTTCTCTCTGGAGGGAGCAGGGACAGAGAAACTGGCAGACTCCAGCCCCTGAAGACCCAGCAGGTCCAGCGGCTCTGAGCCCTAGGCACCCCCGCCCCCGCAGGCAGCAGAACAAGCCCTGGGTTAGTAAACACATCCCACACGGCACACGTGAGTGGGAGCATTAAAGGACGTCAGCCAACGTGTGGAGAGGGGCACACCCGTCTGGAACACTTACATCCACGTCCACCAGCCACCGAGGAGAGAGAAAAGAATATTCTGTTAGGCAGGGTCTTTGGAGATGAAACACACCTGGGTGAACATGCAGGCACGCACACATCCCGCATAGACACACACGCCTTCCCAAGCTCTTAAACTGTGGACGGCTCCTGCTGCTGCCGAGGACTGGACCGTCCAGGCTACTCCGTAAACCGCCTTCCCCACCCCCAACTGCGAGGGCAAACAGGGATGATTTGCTTTTTAAAACGATGTTCCAGCCTGGCCCATGTGGCTCAGCGGTTAGTGTTGGCCCATGGACCAAAGGGTCTTCGGTTCGATTGCAGTCAAGGGCACATACCTGGGTTGCAGGTTTGATCCCCGACCTGGCTGGGGTTGTGTGGGAGGCAACCAGTCGATGTGTCTCTCTTACACTCACATCAATGTTTCTCTCTCTCTCCCTCCCTCCCTCCCTCCCATTCTCTCTAAAACTCAATGGAAAAATATCCTCGAGTGAGGATTAACAAAGAAACAAACAAAAATAAAAACTGATGTTCCACACAGTTGATTTTTTTTTAAAAATCCATCTCTATGACTCATTCCCAGAGCACTACCAAGTTCAGTTCTATACTACATCATCTTAGGCAGAAAGAAAAGAGGGGAGGGAGGGAGGTGGGGGCCGGAGGGAGAGAACAGACACACACCAGAGACAGATGCAGTGACTAGGGGATCGATGGCAGAAGGGGGCAGAAAATGTTCTCCTACAATCCAAGATGCAGATGGAAATCAATTCCGGGGACCAGAAAGGCCCTCTGATCGAAGTACCTGTGACCCACTGAGATCTCTCTCAGGACATCACTGCCCGAGCGCTGGCCTCCAGCCCCCACGGCAAAACAAGGCTCCCCTAACACCATCTGCTGCCTCTTGCCCAGCACCCTTCACTGCAGAGGGGGCCGGAGCTGTAAGGGCCAAGGGGCATCAACGCCACCACTTTACAGAGGAGGAAACTGAGGCCTGGGAGTGGAGGGACTTTCCTCGCAAGCATACTCTAGGGAACGAGTAGAACTCCAGGGCACTGGTGTCAAGAGGGCCCACAAAAGGGAGAACTGGGGCAAAGGTTCCCAGATCACAGTCCTGAGCAGGGCACCCCAGCCCGAGGCCTCCTCTGAGCCCCACCCGCTGCCCTCTCCCCAGTAACCGCCCTGTCCCCACAGCTCCCGGGGACAGCACACGCTACTAAATGCCCCCAGTCAAGGGCAGTTCTGTTCGCGTGCACGGGAAACACAGCCTCGACTGAAGCCAGCAGGTGGCAGGGGACGCGAGGGCTCCCGGCAAGCAGCACAGAGCAGTCCGGTGAGGAAAGGTGGAGGAGAAGGCGGCGTTACTCTCCCTGGTCCCCCAGGTGACAATATCGCAGAATCAGAGGCCTTCTGAAGGGGTCACGGAATTTGCAAACTCAAAATTTTAAAGGGTGAACTGACAGAAATAGCCAGCTACCCGGCGCCACTAGCACGGCACGGTTGTTGCGTGAACTGGTACACCCACCGGCCCAAGATCAGGCCCTAGAGCTGGGAGCTGCGGCCCTGCCCTCCCTCCCTTGGGATATCACTGACAGATGACACTGTTAGCTTCAGGTGTACAGCTTAATAATGACATATATAACCTGGGCATGTGCCCTGACTGGGAATCGAACTGGTCACCTCTTGGTGAATGGGTCGATGCTCAACCAGTGAGCCACACCGGCCGGGCAATAATTATATACATAGCCCTTCCGCTCTGATGTGGATCAGGGAACCCCCAAGAGACAGGTAGCCCCATAACCAGGGCAGGAGAATGGTTCCCACTGTCCTCCACTCACGACCCCTCTGTCAGTTCACATTGGGCTTATGGCCTCCAAATCCCCCAAGTTTTCTACAGACCTTAACAATTCTTGGCATTGAGAAGCCTTAAAAATGAAGAAATTAGGGAAAACAGGACCCTTCCTATAATGCAGCTTCCTGTCCTCCTGCTCACCCTCGACGTGGGGGGACGTGGTGAGCCCCAGCGGCATCAGGCTGGTGGCACAGGCAGCAGCGGGCGCTGTGTGGCACCCCCCGGCAGGCACCTGCAGGCCGCGGGTGTGAAGGGGGAGCTGGGGGGTACCGGCACCGCGAGTCCCCCATGTCCAGTTCAGGTTAGGGGAAAAGAGGCAGCAGGTCAGCAGAGAGCAATGTGGCCCACTGGGTGCCCATGGCCCCACCAAGCCTTCATCACACAGGAGGGCGGCAGCAGGAGCCCCTGGGCAGGACCAGGAGACCCCGAGCTCGACCTCTGTCCCTGAGGTTTCCTAGCTGCTCTGGGTTACAGTCGCCATCACCCTCATCCTTCAAAGAGCCCTTTCCCGGCCATTTTTACTACAGCTCAGCGAGGTGGAAGGCGGGATCTTTCTCTCTACTTGAAGCTCAGGGAACCGAGGCTCAGCGTGGTTAGGTGATTCACACACGGTTACACAGCTAGTAAGTGGCAAAGCAAGACCAGGGCTCCCTTGGTGGCAGCAGGACCAAGGGACTGCAGGGCGTCAGAGGCCCTGAGTGAGCTCCTGTGTCCTCATCCCAGAGCTCAAGGGAACATGACCCTGTGGTGGTCTGAAAAGACCCCACACATTCTTTGATACTCCTCCCTTCAAGAGGTGAAGATTGAGTCCCCTCTCTTGAGTGTGGGCTGAACTTAATGACCCACTTCCAACCAACAGAACAAGGCAGAAGTGGGGGACTGCTACTTCCCAGACAAGGTCCCAACAGGGACTGACTTCCCGCATTCTCTGTCCAGTCTCTGCGTGAAGGCAGCGGCCGTGCTGTTAGGACACTCGGGCAGCCCTGGACAGGCCCACGTGGTAAGGAACTGAGGCCTCCAGCCAACAGCCACGAGAGAGCCCTCCCCTAGCCCGTCTGGCCTCCAGACGACTGCAGCCCTGGCCGACTTCTTGACTACAGCTCTTGAGGGACCCCGAGCCAGAACTACCCAGTTAAGTCGCTCCCAATCCCTAGCCTGCAGACACCTAAGAGAATACAGGCGTGCAATTGTGAGGAGTTAACCTCCTACCCTCTGCCCCAGACCATGCAGCTGAAAGGGAGCCCCGAGGCCAGGTGCCAGCTCCCGGCTAGAGCCTCCTCCAGGGGCAGCATCAGCACAGAGACCGCTGCTCACTCACCTTTCCTGGTCCTGCAGGTGGAGCAGCAGGTGCACACTGTGGGGATGGGGGCACCGTCAGTGACAGCCCCCTCTTGACAGGAGCCAGCCCCAGGCAAACAGGGAGGCCCCAGTGAAGTGTGGGGATCCCCGTGTGTTCAGTATAGGGGTCCCAGGAGTGTGGGTCTCTGCAGAGCACCAAGGTAGGGGAGGGGATCATTCCAGTCAGCTTCGCCTTGGACGCCCTAGCCCAGCCCACAGGTTGGTCCCCGTATGCTGAAGCCTCAGGGAAGGCAGGAGTTGGGGTCAAAATTTCCTCTAAGAAATAACTCCAACCACCCCTGCCCAGGTGCCCCTCCTTTCTACACCTTCCAGGGCAGAGTGACCTCTGTGAAACCTCAGACCAACCTCTGACCCCGCAAAGTCCTTGTGTCTAGCCATTTGGTCGGAGGCCTAATTTGCTGATTTGCACACTCCATCGGTTTTGGTGTACATCCAGGCCCCAGTATCCAGCAGGGGCTCACCAAACACATGCTGAGTGTCCCCAAGTTCATGGAAGGCGAGGATCAGTCTTTCAACTCCCTTGTACCCTTCTCGGGGTCCAGTGTCTTTCAACAGATGGTGTCTGACAAACACCTCCCGGTTCCTTCCGTAAGGAGGGCGATGTGTTCTTGCAGACTCCGGGTTGTCATTTTGCACATATTTTTATCTTACACAGCTTGCTACATAGTATCTCATTCTGCTTCGTACTTTTTTCACGAGGCATCATGTCTGCCAGATCGATCAGTATGATCAGTATGCACACCGGAAGTGCCGCGTGGCTGCCGCTTCCGCCCTTCCCTGCCTCCTGCTCCTGTCCAGGGCTTGCCAGGGATCTGCTCGCTCTCCTTACAGCCCTGAGATGGAGGCGGAGTAGGGACGACTGTGCCCTTGTTTCAGAGGAGGAAGCTTGAGAAGGCCAAGCTCCTCTTCTGTGCCCAGGTCAGATCATCTGGCCGTGACCTCCCGGGCTGGCCGTCACCCTGAGAAAGGTGCTGAGGCTCCCCCTAGGCCCAGCGGGACAAGTGTGGCGGCTGCTTCGTGACATCTGCCTGGCTGTGTTGTATGCTGTCTGTAGGGCCAGTGCCACCCAGCCAGGACAGAAGCCCGGACTCGGGGCCCTTTCTCCTACCCGACCACGCCCAGTGCCCAGGCCCACAGCGGGGGCTGGGAAGGCATGCCAGCCCTGTGAGGCTGGGCCTTGTTCGCCAGACTTCCTCCCAGGCACTCAGGGGTTATGAGGGCCTCATATTGGGGTGCTTTTGCCCCATACTCAGGCCTTGGGCCATTTTACACCTGTCTTTCTTTCTGAGAGAACTTTTATTTTAGCGCCCAGAACAGCTGGGATGAAGGCCACATGGCCTTGTCCTCCCTGCTGGCCAGCACCTCCCTTCCTGCCCTGAAACCACAGGTGTCGAGGCCAAGGGTGGGCGGTGAGGGCAGCGGTTCACTGAACACCAGCTGCTTGGCCTGCGACCCGAGCGCCCCTGCCTCCCCACGTCAGAAGAATCACTGCAACCGCGGTGGCGGGGCCAGTGCAACACGAATCATCCCCAGCTCTCGCCTACCTGGTGCTGGTCCAGGGTGTTCAAGGCCCAGGGGACAACTCCCATCGCCTTGTAGATCCCACCTGACTTCTCCCTTTCCCAGGTGAGGCTGCCCTGAATCATCCACCCAGGGGAGGCCGAGGCAGGAGGCCTGGACTCCTGTCCGTGTGGCCCTGGCGCAAGGCAAGACCTCTCAGCCTCCTTCCTCTACTTGGTTCCCCTCTACAGTAACAACATCGAATGCAAGAGGGAAAGGGACGGTGGGGCCACCAAGGTCCACTTCTTAGTCAAATCAGGGATCCCTCCCTTGAGCCTCAGTACATGATTGTCCACCTTTGGTTTGGGCCCTTCCAATGTCAGGGATCTCACTACCTCCCAAGGCAGCCCACTACTCTCCTGGAGTGCACTTCGTATGATAAAGTGCCTTCCTCGGCGAATTAAATAACAGCAGCAGCGACTACACCGAGTGCCAGGCATGATCCCAAGCACTTTTCCAGGGGTCATTCCACTTGCATTCCTCATAACCACCCCACAGGTGGGAACTGCTCTCCTCGTGTGCAGATAAGGAATCAGAGGTGCCGAGGGAGTCAACGCCTTGTCCAGGTCACACAGCCAACACGTGATCCCCCCTTGGAACTTTACCCCACTGGCCCTTGCTCTGCCTTCTGAGCCCACAGAACTGGGGCCCTTTTGCTTCCAAATGATAGCCTGCGTTGGAGGCTCCGCAGCCAACGAGCCGCTCCAGGGTCGGGCGACCCCGATTCCACTCCAGTCCCCGCTCTGAGACAGTGCCTAGCAGGCTGAAGCTGCAGATGCTCCGGGAAGTCTGGGTGGTCAGTGGGTGAGAAAACGGAAGGCGCTGGCCCAGGAGCCAGGAGGCCACAGGAGAGCACCACCAGCCGGCGACCATGGTGACAATTCCCTTCCCTGGACCTTTGTCTTCTCGTTGGTGAAATCAGAGGGAGAAACTAAATGATCCCTGAGGTTCCTTTTCCTGCCTGGCCTTTTGGGATCCCATTCTATGTTCTCCTGGGATGGATTCCCCAGGAGATAACCTCTCCCTTAGGTAGATTCCCACCATGGCCAAACCCTCACCTCCATAACCCTGCTAGGTTTGTTAAAACATCTCCTTTCCAACAGAAAAGCCACAGTCCTCAACCTGGGGCCGGGGGAAAGGGTTATTCCCGAGAGGAGGAAGCTGATGGGCCCCAGGCCCGGCTCTGAGCTGCTCAGCCTCCCCTGGAGGGTGCGTGAGTACCGTTCTCAGGGAGAGACCTCCCAAAGGCAGGTGGGGTCCCTGGGGCTTGGGGCAAGGGGCCACCTGCAGGCTGCACCTCACAGTCAAGGTCCAGGTGACCTGGATGTCCCTGTTTGTACATTTAAGGACAGAGCAGCCACCAGCCACATATCACAGCCACCCTGTGACAAAAAGTGGCCCAGTTTCCACCCTGAGGCTCACCTTCCCACCAAGGGCAAGGGCAGGGGTGGCAGTCCAGACCAGTGTCCGGCCCCTCCCACCCCCTTCTGCTGGCAGTGACAGGGCTCAGCTCCTGAGGGCCCGGGTCCCTGTACCTCCCTGGGGATGGTCTGGGAAACCGAGTCCTGGCCCCGCTCCCCACCCCTAACCAAGCCCCAACCCTCCACAAGCCCGGGTCCCACTAATGGAGCAGTGCCAGTGGGTCCCAGCACACTGTCCTCGACATCATCACACATCTGGGTGTCACCCCAGACCTCACGAATCTCTGCAGATGGACCCCAGACTCTGCCAAGTCCGCAGGTTAATCCCGATACAGGCAACTTCTTGCCAGGAGTTTGACAACCAGAGGCAGACGTCAACGGGGACGTGCGGTTTCGTGAAGCCCTAACTTCCACAGGAACAAGACCTCTGAGCCAGAGTCGCCAGGCGTGTGGTCTGAGGTGTGCGTGGTGAACAGGGGCTCAGGGATGGGAGGAGAGGGGAGAGGGAGGGAGGACGGGAAAGACTCACACAGGGAAAAGGGGCCACCAGAGCCAGACTTCCTGGGCAGGCAGGAGGGGCCGCTCGGGTGCTCAGGACAGGTAAGCGCTCCCAGGAGGGAGGGTCAGGAAGGGAACAGAGAAAGCTGCCCTGACTAGTCCAGCTGTGCCTGTTGCCTCTGGGTTTGGTTCAGGTACAACAACCCAACCACCCCAATCCCCAGACAACCAGATGAAGGAGGGGGAACCCTGTGGTGCAAGTGACCTGAACCTGCCCCCAGTGAGTCCACAGGCCAGCCTCCTGCCCCGACCAGAGGGGCACTCTGCCCTGGCTGGCCTGGCATGGTCTGATGAATGTGTGTTGGTGGCCAGTCCGTGGGGCAAGGGCCGGGTGACCGGCCACAGAGCGGACTGGGCCCCTCAGGGAAGGAGGCCCAGGCGGGGAGCAGAGGGGAGGGGGACCCCTTACCTGAGCTGCCAGCGCTTTCAGAAGCACTCCTGGACATCTTTGGCTGGCCGTGCTTCCCGCCGGCGCGCCCGGACCCCGCGGCTGGGGGGCCTGACGGAGCAGGGACGCCGTCCCCCCTAATGGTGGTGAGGTCCTGCATGCTGAAGCTCCGGAGTCTCTCCGATAAGGCACCCTGTCCCTGGGTACAACACAGGAGGGACACGCGTCAGAGGCCGGCCCACGGCCCACGGGCAGTAGTGGGGCAGGCAAGACAAAGGCCAACAGGAAGCTCTGACAGTTAGCAAGGTGGAAACCAAACCCTGCAGACTCTGCGAGGGCAGGTGCCCAGTGTACTTGCTGGAAACACTGAGGGTCAAGGTCGGGACTATCCCAGGCCCCCTGTGGGGCTCAGCAGCTGTTCCTTGGGCTCCAGCCCTGCTCCTTCCTCCCCTCCAGAGCCTCAGACAGACCCAGGGCCCAGGGCGTGTTCCTCGGGCTCCTGCCCTGCTCCTTCCTCCCCTCCAGAGCCTCAGACAGACCCAGGGCCCAGGGCATGTTCCTCGGGCTCCAGCCCTGCTCCTTCCTCCCCTCCAGAGCCCCAGACAGACCCAGGGCCCAGGGCGTGTTCCTCGGGCTCCAGCCCTGCTCCTTCCTCCCCTCCAGAGCCTGAGACAGACCCAGGGCCCAGGGCATGTTCCTCGGGCTCCAGCCCTGCTCCTTCCTCCCCTCCAGAGCCCCAGACAGACCCAGGGCCCAGGGCATGTTCCTCGGGCTCCTGCCCTGCTCCTTCCTCCCCTCCAGAGCCCCAGACAGACCCAGGGCCCAGGGCATGTTCCTCGGGCTCCAGCCCTGCTCCTTCCTCCCCTCCAGAGCCCCAGACAGACCCAGGGCCCAGGGCATGTTCCTCGGGCTCCTGCCCTGCTCCTTCCTCCCCTCCAGAGCCTCAGACAGACCCAGGGCCCAGGGCATGTTCCTCGGGCTCCCTGCCCTGCTCCTTCCTCCCCTCCAGAGCCCCAGACAGACCCAGGGCCCAGGGCATGTTCCTCGGGCTCCTGCCCTGCTCCTTCCTCCCCTCCAGAGCCTCAGACAGACCCAGGGCCCAGGGCATGTTCCTCGGGCTCCTGCCCTGCTCCTTCCTCCCCTCCAGAGCCCCAGACAGACCCAGGGCCCAGGGCATGTTCCTCGGGCTCCTGCCCTGCTCCTTCCTCCCCTCCAGAGCCCGAGACAGACCCAGGGCCCAGGGCGTGTTCCTCGGGCTCCTGCCCTGCTCCTTCCTCCCCTCCAGAGCCCCAGACAGACCCAGGGCCCAGGGCGTGTTCCTCGGGCTCCTGCCCTGCTCCTTCCTCCCCTCCAGAGCCCCAGACAGACCCAGGGCCCTGGTCATGTTCCTCGGGCTCCTGCCCTGCTCCTTCCTCCCCTCCAGAGCCTCAGACAGACCCAGGGCCCAGGGCATGTTCCTCGGGCTCCTGCCCTGCTCCTTCCTCCCCTCCAGAGCCTGAGACAGACCCAGGGCCCAGGGCGTGTTCCTCGGGCTCCTGCCCTGCTCCTTCCTCCCCTCCAGAGCCTCAGACAGACCCAGGGCCCAGGGCATGTTCCTCGGGCTCCTGCCCTGCTCCTTCCTCCCCTCCAGAGCCTCAGACAGACCCAGGGCCCAGGGCATGTTCCTCGGGCTCCTGCCCTGCTCCTTCCTCCCCTCCAGAGCCTCAGACAGACCCAGGGCCCAGGGCATGTTCCTCGGGCTCCTGCCCTGCTCCTTCCTCCCCTCCAGAGCCTCAGACAGACCCAGGGCCCAGGGCATGTTCCTCGGGCTCCTGCCCTGCTCCTTCCTCCCCTCCAGAGCCTGACACAGACCCAGGGCCCAGGGCGTGTTCCTCGGGCTCCAGCCCTGCTCCTTCCTCCCCTCCAGAGCCTGACACAGACCCAGGGCCCAGGGCATGTTCCTCGGGCTCCTGCCCTGCTCCTTCCTCCCCTCCAGAGCCCCAGACAGACCCAGGGCCCAGGGCATGTTCCTCGGGCTCCTGCCCTGCTCCTTCCTCCCCTCCAGAGCCCCAGACAGACCCAGGGCCCGGCTGCCTGTAGCTCTGCTCCCAGGGGGTGTCAGCTGCTTCTCTGGCTTCATAGACACAAGCCTCCTTATACAGCTACATTGTCCTCAGACTCCAGTGCACGAGAATCTGGTCAGAAAATCAAAACCTAGTAACCCGCGTGCTTTGCCTGTCCTCTTTGCAAAGGAAATGAAATACAGGCTGTTTCCAAACGCACAACAGCAGTTTCTCTCATCTGCTCACGTCACGGTTTACGGAGCACACTCACTCCACGGCTGCATCAGAGCTTCATGAATACCCAGAGGGAATGAACGGGGAAGGAAAATATGATGTTCAAAAACCCTGCTGGCTGCGACCGCTTCATATGCTGAGGGCGCCACGGAGTTCATCTCAGGGGGAAACGGTTCTTTTGTTGGGGAAGCAAGACCAATCCATTACAGTTCTGAAGGGAAGGCCCTTGCTGTCTGGATGACAGTCGGCGTTGGACTGAAAAGGGTCATCGGGAGGCCCAGGGGCAGGGCAAAGCCTTAGTGCCTGGGGCTGCAGAGGGGGACCTGTGTTTGAGGGAGGAGGAGACCTGGGTTGGAGGGAGGCTGCTAGGAGACTGGCACTGTGAGAATTGGGTTGCATTTGTTTGTTTGTTTTTGTTAAGCCTCACCTAAGGATAGTTTTCTGTTGATTTGGATAGAGTGGATGGGAGGGAGGGAGGGAGAGGGAGAGAGAGAGAGAGAGAGAGAGAGAGAGAGAGAGGTCTATGTGAGAGAGACACATTGATCCCATATGACCCCAATCGGGGTCAGGGATTGAACCTGCAACCAGGTTCGTGCCCTTGACCAGGAATTGAACCTGCAAATCCTTGGTCCGCAGGCCGGGCCAGGGCTTGGGTTGGGATTTGAATAAAAAGTGATAGGAAGGCAAGTCACCAGCAGGCAAGGGAATGAACTCCAGGCATCTTCGGAAATACTGGGGGGGGGGGGTGGTCGTCAGACTTCCCACAGTACCTGGGATGGTGGGGGAGGGGAAAGAGACATTCTATTGGCATAATGAGAAAGAATGGCTCTAGGGGCTGGAGGACTTGGGGACAATAAGGCACAACAAACAACAGAAACAACAAATCAGCACAAAGTCGATGAGAACAGCTCACAGGAGGCTCCGGGCTGCGGCTGCAGTCGGGGGAGCTGATGAACAAACAAGCTTAGTCAGAGGCTTTCGGAGACTGCAGAAGGGTTTAGGGAATTTTTTCATTTTACTTAATTAAAAAAATAGCAATAAAAATGGGCCACCGAAGCACAGCAGTTCACTGTCTGACCTCAGCGAGAGCCGGCGAGACGGAATGAGTTCCTAAGGGAAAAACACAAGGGGCCGGTCGGCAGGTTTAAAAGAAATGTCAGAATAAAACAGATGCGCTAAAATATGAAAAGATACGTTCTCCACCTACCAAAGATATAAAGACAGTGCCTCCCAGAAACTAACAACAAACAGAAAACTGTTTCAACAATCAAATATATACAATCCAAAGGATACATCCAGGCAAGGGGGTTCGGGAGGACATTATGTGATGAAAGAGAGAAATCACCCTGGTTGCCTCAGACACTGCTCTGGATCCGCGGTGGACAAGGGGTCTGAGGCTTCACCTTCTGCACAGTAGCAGCCAGGAGTCTCTACCACGAACACAAGGGCAGGACCAGCTGCCCAGCGCAATCCCTCCAAGTCTATCAGCCAAGGATCCAAGATCATTTTATTCCAAAACACTCTAGATATCTAGAATTTAGAGGACATTAGATGTCTAAAGAACAAAAATTGATTCTAAAAAGAGAGAAAATATTCTGATAATTATAATGGAGTAATTCAATGTTAGGTTAACAGTCAGGATGATTCACTCTTCCATTTATTCTCCCATGTATTCATTTATCTAGTTAACTATCAAGAACTTTGCTATCAAGGGCAAGACACTGTGCTGTGTGTTGTTAGGAAATAAAAGCACAGTTTGATTTCTGACGAAACGTAGAAAGACAAATGGACAAATAACACAAAGGTGCCAGACCAGAAGCTGCAGAGAGGGCGGGTCACAGGAGGGCCTGCAGGGCAGGAAGGTGGTGAGGATCACATGAGATTGTGCCCAGAGAAGATATCTACAATCAAGCCCAATGCAACGAAGTTTCCAAAAACGTCAGCGGTGATGATAACAGCTGCCGCTGCCTAAGACACATAAGTTGCTGTTGAAATTAAATATACAAAAAGAAAGAAAGAAAGATCATTTCTGGCCAAAGGACCAGGAGGGGGTTCATGATCCCAAGTCCAAATACGTGATCAGGAACTAACTCCACCAGCGAGCCTGCCAGCTCTCGCCAGCACTCAGCACGGCGTCTGAGAGCCAGCGGCCGCGGGCACCACACATGCCCATTATGTCCACTTCAGCAAAGCCCTCCATCCGCTCCCAGCAGCCGGCCAGCCTGGCTCCAATGTCACTGGCATCATGAAGACTGGAAGTGGCAGAGGTGAGGAAAGAGAAGGCGATAACAACAGCTCGGTATCAACCGAGTCCTGTCTCAGAGGGAATCTCAGCAGCAGGGCCGCAAGGCTCTTGAAGACAAATGAGCTGTGCCCGTCCAAAGCAGCAGAGATGGTTCAAGGCAACCTGTCTCTCTCCTCTGTAAGCCTCTACCTCGGCCCTGCTCTGTCTCTGCTCGAAATCCCAGTCCTATTCACTCCCCACAAGCCCACCCCACCTGCCACGTCAGCTCTGCTCTAGAGAACCCTCGTTTCGTTATTTGGGAAACATGCAAGACTTGTTCACTGGCATTTTGCAAAACTGGGTTCTCTATTTTAGAAAAACAAATTTGGATCCCCTACGTTTGGAAAAGCTTAATACCATATTCTCCATAATTCAATGAGCCGTGTTACCATATTAAAAGCTTTGAGAAGTCCTACAGTATTTTGGGTTAATTCAGTGCACCCCAAAGGTATTTGACTACAGTGTTAGTTGGCCATCCAAAAGTCATCCCCAATCCCATTCTTGAAATGATGGGAAAAAAACAGATTTCCCAACCCCCCCTCGTAGCGGTGGATGGCCTTACGGTGGATGGCCGTGGGAGGCGGTCCCAGCCAGCAGGCGGTAAGGGGGATCTGCTGAGGGATTCTGGGAAAGGTGCTC